TTTTTTTTTTATGAAAAATAATCTTTGCCAGGGGGAAAAAGGGGGCAAGGCTGCCTCGACCGAGGTCTTGGGACCGCTTTGGATCGCGCCAACATGCATGCATCCTTTGATGCCTTGGGACACTTGGCAGCTGCATGGGGATGAAAAAAGGCCCCACGCCTGCCAACTTGCCAACCATTTGGGCGTTCTCCTCCCACACAACCACCGCATATGGAACGGATCACGGACCACTTTTACAGCGTGTACTGTAGGTGCACCACGGATGGCAACGACTTTGTGGATTTGGCATGAGATTCCAACGTGCGTGTTTTCACTGGGTACGTCGCGAGAAAGCCGAGGCAGAGAAAAAAGGAGTGGCGCAGCTGTCGTCGGGACGACCTGTCAGAGGCAACGTTTGGGACCTGACTTTTTTTTTTCTTTTTCTTTTTTGTTCGCGCGCCTGTGTTGCTCGGCGACTCGACTCGGAGCAGCGCCTTCCATGCGCTGCATCGTCGGAACGCCAATCCGCGGTACTGGAGCACGGCACTGTCACACGCTTCCCGAAACGTCTGCTCGGCCCCGTTCGCAATCGCAGTGGGTAAGGTAAAGGTTTTTGACTCACTGTTTTGGCTCGGCGCACGAAGGGAATCCGTGCAAAGGGGCAAGGACAGAAGAAGCTCAGGCTTTACAGTGTCGTGCGGTGGGTGGGAGCGAAACGCGATTCGCGTCGCAGCCTCGAGAGAGTTGGGTGAGACAGATGCCTGTTCTCGATTTCGGGCTGGATCTGCCTGGCCTGGCCCGCATCTGGGCTTTTTTTTCTGAAACAGGCACAGCAAATTTGCACGGCGCGCGCGCGCGGCGCTCGTCACGTCAAAATCGAAAATTGAGCTCAGCTGGCGTGTCTGGGATGTCTTTGCCGAGCCCAGCAGGCCATGCTGCTCGAGTGCGTGTGCGCGCGCACTCGATGTGAGTTCGGATGCACTGGACGAGGGCAGAATGCCAGAGGCCGCGCGCTGGAAAGCACCTCCGGACCGTTCGGCCCAACCGCTTCGAATCTGGGCCGGTGTGCGTGTGCGTATGCCGGTGCCTCCTCCTCCTCCTCCCTCCTCCTCAGCGCTCCTCAGCGCTCCTCTTCTTTTCCCTTCCGCCTGGTCCCTGATCTTCGAGCCTTTTTGGATTGATAGATTCTCGAAAAGGGGCGACTTCGAGTTTGGCAACTGCGCTTGACAAAGGGCTCAAGATGCAGTGGAAACAAATGAACGCAAGCCTCGCACCATTGTGTCGGCTCGCGTTGAACAGCACGGCGGATTTGATGATTCGACCAACGATGATCGCATGCCACCACCCGCCAATCCAAAAAGAAAGAGATCGCGTTGAGCTGAGCTGGAGCTGAGCTGAGCTGAGCTGAGCTGGAGCTGTCCGTGCATCATTGTTATTAATAAAGGTAGCTTCGTTGGGTGGGCTCGATGCCGGTGTTTCAAAAATTCGGTTTGCCGCCATGTCAGTCAACGCGACGGCGGTCTGGGTGGTTGGATTGTGTTTCGCATCGTTGTCGTGCGAACCTGGCTCGGAGCTGTCACTGGCTCGGCAGCTCATTGGCTCTGGCGAGCGAGACGGCGGGCAAGTCAAGCGCTCGTCCGAGTTTGGGCATGGCGAGAGGGATTTTTTTTAGCAGCTTGTTTCGGTGGTGACGTGTGGCTCGCGCTGTCAAAAACAAAAAAAATCGCATCGCTCATCACCGACTGAGCGCCTCGCGCCACTGCTCACGCCCTTCGGCTCGCGCTAGCCGAGCGATGACACTGGGCAAAGAAAACCAGGGCAGAAAGTTGGATTCTGTTTTTTTTCCCTTTTTTTTCCCTTTTATTTTGCTTTTGAGTCAGCCCGGTTTGACACTGCATTTATGCCGAGCGACGTTGCAGCAGACAGCGCGGGTGGAAGCTCAGATGCATCGCGCCTGCAGAGCGTGTGCCCACGCCGCGCTTGCGGGCCGGTGCCGAGCAAGCAAGCGCCACGTCGGTCTGGCAGCGGCGGCTGCTGCTGCTAATTTGGCTCTGCCCTGGTCCACACACTCTTTCTTGGCTTTTCGCCTTGGCTCTCAGAGCACCGCGTTGCGCAGCATTGGGCGATTCGGATGTTCCGTCACCTTTTTTTCTCTTTTATTTTGACAGCAGCACAAGGTCGCCTCGACGCCGCTCGCTTCGGTGGATGCTCAGCTGTCGATTCCCTGCCTCTCTCTCTCACACACACACAGATTCCCTCTCGCCAACTGCCCTGATTCGGATTCTCGGGCCCTGTCGCCGCCGCCGCCGCCTCCGCCTCCGCTGCCCTGGCTTTTCGCCTTTTCGGACGTCCAACTCCGTCACGTCGTCTAACTCCGCCCAGCTCTGACCTGACCTGCCCTGCCTTGCAACTGCATCCATCTTCCACTCACCATTATCCTCGCTCTCACCCTCTCTCTCTCTCTCTTTCTCTCTCTTAGACTCTCTCGCGCTTTGCCTCAACTTTCTCGCTACACCAACCCCAAGCCGCCGCCGTTGTTGCCGCTGCCCGGTATCGCAATACCAGGATATCCACTCGTCACCCAAGCTTGGCCCTCTTCGATTCGGCGCCCTTCATCCCTACCTCATTTCCATCACCGCCCTTGGCTAATTTCGACCTCCGCCTTTGCTCGCCCACCTACCGCAACCGGCTCCCCTTCCCCATTGCCCGCTCTTTTCTCTCTTGTTGATTTGCCGCCGCAGCTCACTTGCCGCTTGCTTGGCCCCCAGCTCGCCTCTCGCAGTCGTCCGACCTCCTGGAGTCTCCATCCATCCATCCGTATCGTCAGCGTTCGCGACCGCCACCCCACCCAATTCCCCCACCTCTGGTTTTCCTCATCCACCATCCTCTATCCTCGCCAGGTGACTCCGCCATATCTTCGCCATCCGCCACCATCACAGCACTCTGCGCATCCATCCAACCGTCCATCGTCACTTCCGATCGAGTCTCGATACGCTCGCTCGCTTCGACCACACAGATCGTCGCCAAGCACCTTGGATGACCTGACGTCGCACAGCGGCCATCTTTTCTCTTTAAAACTACTTCTCGACTCTCTCCGGCCAAGCCGGTTGCATCATGGCAGGTCCGCTTTCGACTCGTCCCATCAGCAGCGTCCGTGACCAGCAGACGTCCCCACAACCGCCCTCTTCCAACGGCACCCCCCACCTCAAATCGGAGAAGCTCGCATCCTCCGACCCTTCACCCCGAGTCCAGGCCATCCTCGGCACGCCCAGCGACCGCTCCGCTCCTACCCTCTCCTCCGACGACCGTCACAGCTCGCCCTTTGTTCCATCCGCACGCTCGTCCGAATACTCGTTCGACCGAACCTCCACCACCAGCTTTGGCCACCGTTCCGCCAGCACCGCTGCCACCTCATCCGCCTCCCACGACCCTGATCGCCTCCCATCCATCGCCGCACTTGACTTTCCCAAGTCGGATCGCTTCGTCCACCCTTCTTCCGCCTGGACGCACTCTCATCCAAACGCCATGCACAACGCTGCAGAGCCTGCCGACCCCTCGGCCCCTCGTCGAGCTGCTTCGCCGCCTCCACCATCAATACGCCGTGGCACATCGCCCGCTGGCCGCGTCTCCAACCACTCTGCAGAATGGGATATGCGTTCGGATCGTGGCAGTCCCCTTGTCGGCGCTCGCAGACCTGGCGTGCCGCCGCCTGCATCCTCCGCCTCGGCTTCCGCAGCGCCGGCCGGGGCCGTCCACTCGGCCTACTCCCGCGACTTTGCCAGGAGCCCCTTGCCCTCGTATCGCGACGACCGCGACTTTGGCAGAAGCCCCGTCACCTCGCATCGCGATTCCGCATATCGTGACCAACCGCACGCTGCGCATCGAGAGCTCTCGCCGCCACTCAACCTGCCTCTCAAGCGCAAGGTCAGCATCTCGTCCGACGCCGGTAGCAGACGGCCCGATGCAGATCGCATGATTGACCGCGGCACTTGGAGCCGCGCCGACTATGCAGCGCATTCCGCCTATCCGGACACCGGCTACTATCGCAACCGCGATCGTGCCGAGTCGCCAGAACGCACATACAGCAGCAGCTATTCTCGCGACGCAGCCTACTCGGCACGCCACATTGACCAGCGCATCGACGATAAACACTACTCGCCACGCCACGCACATCCCACCTCGCCATCCTCATCGCGCATCGCCTATCGCGGCTACGACGCCGGCGCACCAGCCGCCAGCCAGTACCACTCCCGCAGAATCAGCGGCCGCTACAGTCCCTCGCCGCGCTCACCATCCTATGCACCTCGTCAGGCGCTCGTGGCCCCGCCAGCAGGCGCCGTCGCACCTCCGGCCCACGACCCGTATTCGCGAAGCGCACCCCACTCTTCCTACGCACGCCGATCGCCGCCGCCCTTCGCCGCGGATCCACGCCCCCAGCTGCCGCCGCTCTCGTCCCGCGCTGCTGCGCCATCGCGCTATGCCGATCCGCGCGCTCGCTACACGCCTCCGCTCGAAGCGGTGCATGCTGAGCGCCTAAGCCCTACACCAGAGCCGCATGCCTACTCGGAGCCCTTCTACCCGGACCGCCGTCTCTACTTTGCGCGCGAACGTATCCAGGACCCGGAGATGGACGACTACTACCACGGACCCGTCGGCTCCGTCGGCTCTCGCGGACGCTATGCCGACTATGCCTACGACCCGTACGGGTCGCCGCACGCTGCGCCCTACGCTGGGCATGTAGGCAAGCCAGGCAACGGTGCTGCGCCCATGCCCATCCCTTCGCCCGGTATGGCACCCATGGCAGCGCATCCGGGCGCGAGGCACCACGATGGCCGCCTGGCGTATGCCAGCCCGTATGGACCGGGCGACTACATGGGTCATGACCCGCGCGACATGCACGCACACGCCGGCATGGGCCGACCGGGCGGTGCGATGGGCCGACCGATGATGGCCATGCCTGCTACGCACGTGCCGCCGGGACCGTCGGCGGGGATTGCGCCGCCGCCGCGTCGACGCGGCAAGCTGCCCAAGCCGGTGACGGATCTGCTCAAGTCGTGGTTACTCGAGCATGCCAGCCACCCGTACCCGACCGAGGACGAGAAGCGCTCGCTGTGCAGCATGACGGGCCTCACGCTCTCGCAGGTGTCCAACTGGTTCATCAATGCGCGCCGCCGTATTTTGCTGCCCACCGGCGCCAATGGCAGCCCGGGCGGGACCACCGCCGCGCAGGTCAAGGCGGCGTTTAGCGCCGACAGCCCGAGCCCGCCGCCGCACGAGGCCTGAGCTCAACGTCACAGTCGCATCGACAGCATTCGTATTCGTCATAATTGCAGGCTCGTTGTGTTTTTGCTTTTTTTCTTTTTTCGTGATGACTGCTGTTGATTGTGAGGGAGAGGGGGGATTGAGGGGGTAGAGTCGTGTTGAGTTGTGTCGGGCGCTGGAGGAGAATTGATGGGAGGGAGGAATTGGTGGTGGTGTTTTTGTTGGGGGATGGGAATTGGAGGTGAGTTTGTTTGGCGGTGTGCGGCGCGCACGCAGGCAGGGAGGCACTGTGACGAACTGTGTGCTTTACCTTTGGACAGCGTGATAGAGCGTGGTAGAGCGGGAGGCGATGTGTGGGGCAGCAGCGATGTGACGAGGCTGTTGACGCTGCTGTCGCACGCTGTCGCACGCTGTTAGACGATGCTACCATGGCGTACGCTGTGACGCCGTCACGTCGTGAAGATGCTGCAAGGCTGCAATGCGCAAAGTGCGATTCCACCTTGCAAATGCACACCCTCACCACTGCTCATCATCGCCTCCTCGCACTCCTGTCACAATCCAAGCCGGTTCCCATGTACATCCTCCACGCATTTTGGCCAGCCACTCACACCACACGCCAATTCAATCCACGCACAAACGCGCACCAGGGTATCATAGCTTCTATTCTTCGTTTCCACACCACCATCTGCCTGCCCAGAGTCCCGATCGGCTCGCAGCAAAGACGTTGTCCGAGAGCGCTTATTTCGCCGGCGCCCGCGGGCCAAAGTTGATCGAAAACGGATTGAGCATGTCCTTCTTCTTGGCCAAAAACGCCGGCATGGCGGCAGCTGCCACCTGCGCTGCTGCTGCTGCAGGCGCTGCTGCGGGGGCGGGAGCGGCAGCGGCGGCAGGTGCGGGTGCGGGTGCGGGTGCAGGCGTCACTGCCGCAGGCGCAGGTGCAGGTGCAGCAGCGGCGGGCGCACTCGCAGCCACCGCCTGCTTGAGCGCCGCCTTGACCGCCTTCTTCTGCGCACGCAGCGAGTCGACGCCCGCTGCAGCGTTAGGAGCCGGTGCCGGGCCCGGTGCAGGCGCGGGGATGGGCGAAATATGCGCGGGCGCGTGCGCCGGCATGTGCATCGGCATCGGCATGATCTGCGGCATGGGCATCGACATGGGCGGGCCGAACCCCACCGGCGGACTCGCCGGAAACGCGCCGGGCACATTGTATCCAATCGGCATGGGCCCGCCACTGTGCAGGTGGCGGCTCTTGATGCTCCACAGATCGGCGATCTCAAACTCGAGATGGCGTTTGGCCTCGCGGATCTTGCCCACGTCCTCAAACATGCCGCTCACCTCCTTGTGCAGCAGCCGCTTGAACTCCTCGGCGTGCATCTGCACGTTGCTCCGCAGCATGTCCCGGCTCGCCGCGTTGACCGCCTCCACCAGCTTCGCGTTCTGCTCGCTCGTCGTCTTGAGCAGCTCGCTCGTCATCTGCCGCAGCGCCGCATCCGCCGCCTGCGCCGACTTGACCTCGGTCTCCTTCTGCGCGTTGATCGCGGCAACCAGCGACTCGATCGCCGTCTTGGGGTCCAGCTCTTTCTGCTTCTGCTCCTCGGCGGCTTTGTCCGCCGCAATGCGGCTGTACAGCAGGTCCACCAGCTCCGCCTTTTCGCGCTCCTTGTCTGAAAGCAGCGACCGCTGGCGCTCTTCCTCCGCCTGCTTGCGCTCCGCTTCGCGCTGCTGCGCCTCCGTCTGCTTCTTCTTCTCCTCCTCCTTGCTCAACAGCAGATGCTTCAGGATCTCTTCCACCGCCAGCGCAAGCGCAGAAGTAGTGGGTCCACTGCCGCTCTCCACCTCCTCCTCCTTCTCCTTGACCTTGTCCGCCACCACGGCCACACGCGCCGGCACAGGCGTCTGCATCTTGACCACGCCGTCGTCGTCGTCGTCATCGTTGCCACCCTTCCCGATCGTCGGCTCGTCGCCCACCGCAAACCGCGTGCGGTACGGCGAAGGAGTCGGCATGAGCGTGTCGCCGTCCAGGTGGCCTCCGTCGCTTGCAGTGTCGTCACTTTCGGGCTCGGGCGCCTTGCTCTCGATGTAGCGTGTCAGCTCGATGATCGCCTGCGTTCCGTAGCCTGCTTCGGCCGATTCGCGCACCAGCCCGGCGATCCGCACGTTGTCCTCGCTGTCCGCGGCGTCTTTGAGCGCCTGAAGCGTGGTCGCCGGAAGCGGTAGCTGGCTGTCGATCTCCGGGTTGCCCGTCGCTTCCGCCGGCAGCGGATCTTCGGGCTTGCCCGCCGCCCGCTGCATCACCTTGAAGCGCTCCCACTCGCGCAGCGCCTGCCTGATCAGCAACGCTCCACTCGCAGCAGCGGCCGCCTTGGCTGCCTTGGACTTGAAGCTGCTCTTGACACCCACGTCGGCGTCGTCTGGCTGGTACCACGACTGGTCGCCCTCGTCGGCTGATGGCGACGCGCTCCGGCGTTCGTTCCACTTGCGTGTGCCTGCCGGCCGCTTTCGTGCCGGCGAAGTCGGTGCATTGGCGCTGTCGCCCATGAGAAGGATCGGCGCCAGCTTGCCTCGCTCCGTGACCGCAGGCACGGCGCCTGTCGACCCGGGCCGGAGCAGCGTCGGCGGCTGTGTCGGGCCAGCATGCGGGTTCGGCCCAACTGGTCCAGCCTTGTCTTGCAGGCTCGCCGCCGACCCAGAAGCAGGCAGTGGACGTCCCTCCTTGAGCGCCTTGAGCTCGTCGTGCAGCTGCGTTACACCGCTGGCGAGCGTACGCCATTCCTTGGAGCGGTCGACAACATCGCGCTCGAGCCACGCGTTGAGCTCATTGAGGTAGCGCGAGATCTCGGTCTGCTGCTGCAACTGCGTCTGTCTCGCGAGCTCGCTCTGCTTGAGCGCCTGCAAAATCGTCGCCAGCTCGCCATTGGTGCTGCCTACCGCCGAGCCTCCTGTCGCGCTTGCGGCATAGCCCACGCCGGGTGTAGGCGGCGGACCGTCGAACTTTGCCTCGGGCCCAACGGCCGCCGATGCCATGGACAGCCCGAGACCGTCTGGCTCCTTGCTCGTGCTGCCGGTGTCCTTGGGGTCCGCAACGATATCTCCGACCGCCCAGCGCACGCTCGGCGTCGGCGGCATCGGCTTGTCGACGTTGGGCATATCGACCGTGACAGAGCTCGTGGAGGTCTGCGCATCCATACCTGCCGCGACCTTGGGGGTGTACCAGCCGCCGAGCTGTGCACCGGGCATCGATGCGCCACTTGCGGCTTGCTGCTGCGCGCGTCGGCGGCGGATCTCGGCCTCCATGTCAAGCGAGCCGTAGCTCGGCTCGGCCTTGACCATGACGGGGCGCGGCGTCGCCTGCGTGGATCCAGGGTCGCCGAGCATGCGGAAGTTCTGCGCAGGCGCGCGGCCCCCAATGCCCATGTGTGTTGTGGCCCTCGACGCTGGTTGGCTGCCAATCGACTGGGCGTCCCACACCGAGTTGGGCGGCGGCGAAGGCACGCCCCTCTCGGACGACCAGCTGCGCGGTGGGATGCGGCTCATCACCGAAGCGTTGTCCATGTCGCTCGTCGACACACTCGCCGGAATGCTCGCGCCTGACGCCACGCGATGCGGCAAGGTCGCCGAGAAGCGTCTTCTGGGATCAATGTCCACATCGATGGGCGTGCCGGGATGGCCGACTGCGCCGGCAGGCGCACTGCCGCCACGCACCATATCAGACGACACGTTTCGCAACGTATAGTCCGCGTGGATCGCCTCGTGGCGTCCGTCCCGGCCGTGCTTGGCGCGGTCCTCCATCGACTTGATGAGCTCCTCACCACGCAGCTCGACGGGCATGCGGTCCCACTCGTCCATCAGCGCCGGGTC